ATATTAGTCATAAGGAATTTATCTGCTTTGATTAGCGCCTACACTTAAAAGCTGGAACACTCTGCTGAAGATAAGAAGTCATAAATATTTCAATGGACGTTCGGAGTTGGAGAAGACTGATAGAGGACGGGAGAGGAATAGAGGACGAGAGCAGAGATAGAGGACATGCTTCCAATGCTACCCTCCGTGGTTGTTTTTCATGCCAAACAACTCAAGTTGTTGGCTGTACCACACTTGGTTGGGAACTTTGGGAACAGCTCAGCTTTCTAGCTGATGGACTCCATCGTAAGACTTTACGAGTGAGGTATCAGATAAGTAGGAGATGGAAGGAAGAAACTGGAGGCCCTTTGCCAAGTTTCGATCTGACCCCCCCCAAGCCCCTTCCCTGGTTACCCCTCCTTTCATCACAGACACACAGAACAATGTGCTCTTTGTTCTTTTGATCTCTCAGACTTGCTTGTGTCGGTCAGGTGTTGTATGGCAGCTGGAAAACATTTCTATAAATTGAGGAAAAAGGGTTTAGTCACCCCAGCACAGACTGTCCCCTGTCAAAGAAAGGAAAGGATGTTGACTACAGACATATTGATTCATGAATCTTCAGTTGTTAAATAATCTCAAACAGACTTGCTTATGCAGTCTCAGACACTGTATGATAGTATTAGCCATAAAAATAAAAATACATTTAACAGCTTAATGTCATACAGTGTCAGAAAACACATAACCACAGCTCCAGAGCAAAACTAATGCACTAAGGTTGGGCTCAGATTCAGCATTCTTTTTTCTCAACCATCAGCATGTTCATGTAACCAGTGGGAAGTGATGCAGAATGGAGCTCCTTTAAAAGAATGGTAGGCTGAAAAATTCAATTTACACAATTTTCCACTAGGCCCAGATACAGTTGATCAGCCGAGACCTTTTTTAGTTTGGTACTGGAGCTACAAGGCTAAGAAACACTAGAATAATTCCTCAGCTTTCAACTACATGGTGAGGTTTTGCAGCTCGCAGTAAGTCATACTGTGTCCTAAACCACATCAACAAGTTTGCTGTACCTTAATGAAGATCTAGATGCTGTTTGAGTGGGTTAAGAGAAATTCTGGGGATGTGTGATCTGGGTGCCCTGCTGAAAAAGGACCATTTTGCCTTCCAATGGAATTGGCTTAATTGTTTCCAAAGGAGAACACTAGTTTCCTGTACAATATCTTTAGATCCCATTAGGAAAGCATCAAATGTGTTTAGAATCAGCTTACCTGTTAACCCATTAAGATCTGTTACAATGTGATATCAACCCATTAAAAAGCCAAAACATTACGAAACTATTCAGAACCAACAGCAACACAATGTTTTCTATGGGTTTTTTCAGCAGCGTTGACTATTGACTTCTAGTGTTTGCTAGCAACATGAGCTTTTTTCTCCAAACCATTTTTCTTTATCAGATCAAAAATAGATGATTTTTAGGAAAGCAGTGGTGATGTCAATCAGGTTGTAGCTCAGGAGGCTAATGAAAACAACCAGTGTTGGTCAGTAGCACTGCAACTATAGCAAAGCTATTAGTTTAACCAAATTTTCCAGTAGTTAGGTGGACGCAGCACTATTTTAAAAATCAAGTAGCTTTTCGGTAGTGAAGCTAATCTATTTTATCATTCAAATAGCAGAGTAGCGTTGACAAATGCTATCCCTCTATACATGCAAAGACGACCTTAGATTCTATAAACATATCGTCGCTGTTTAAAGAAAAACAAGTTTCTCCAAAATAGTAAGTTTACAGGAGAGAGCAAAAATGTTCTTTACTTTTAATGTAAGTTAATGTAAGGAGATTTTATTCCAAGCAGTTTTGGAGTGTTTCTATTGGTCCATTCATTGTGGAATTTTCATACAAAGTAAAAGACACTGAATTATGCAGAAAACTAAAAATGGCAAAAAATGGAGATACTTGTTTTTTTCTTTGGTCAGCAGTGATGTATTTTCCTCAATCAAATTATGTACTCTGCATTGTTCTGTTGCAACTAATTGCACCTCCCATGTTTTATTAATACACACACACACACACACACACACACACACACACACACACACACACTCACACACATTTTCTAAGCCGCTTATCCTTCAGGGTCACGGGGGGGAGCTGGAGCCTATCCCAGTGGTCATTGGATGGAAGGCAGGATACACCCAGGACAGGTCGCCAGTCCACATTCACACACACTCATATTTAGGGCCAATTTGGCAGCTCCAATTGGCCTGACTGCATGTCTTTGGACTATAGGAGGAAACCCAGACAGACACAGGGAGAACATGCAAACTCCACACAGAAAGGAGCCTGGTTGCCCGGCTGGGGAACCAAACCTAGGCCCTTTCTGCTGTACTGTTCCACCTGTTTTATTATGACTAAGATTAATCATTTGTACTAATCTTTAGAGCAGTGCATTAAAATACTCCAGAAAGGAGCAGAACAAAAAATCTCTAGTAGGCATTTCAAGACTATATACATAACATCAGTGCCAAAAGGATAACGATGGACATGACAGACCAGATGACATTCTGACTGTCCTTGATGCACAATATTTCAGAAATGGAAACAAGCATAGAGCTCTAGATTGGACCCATAGCAATAAAAGACATGGAAATAAAAGAGTAGCACCATTCCTGTTCTTTAGGTGAATGACGATTATGTGCATTTTAAGAATAAAATTGAGAACATTTTGAACTGGGAGGTTATTATAACTTTTATTAGCCTCAGAACAGGAGAATTGGGTATCTTTGGGCCTAGAAACCAATTTTAGTGGTCATGCATGGTCCACAGTTGAGTAATATTGCATATCTATACAGAGCAAAAGTGGAATAACAAAAGGTGAGAGAAAATGTCACCTCCACAGAGCGGGAAATTGGTTCTCGATACTGTTATGCCTGCAAGATACTCATCTCATCAGCTCTTGCAAATGCTCTGAGGCTTCTCTCACAAATTTCAAGAACTCTGATGGACCAAGTAATAGGAAAATCAAGGTTTTGTTCAAACTGTAGAGGAACTTTGTTGTTGGATGACTTTGTGATTGTCCATGATGCTCAATATTTCAGAGATGTGGGGCTGTAGAAAAAGATTGGAACCATAATCACATGAATATAATGTTGACATCTATTATTTAACAATTGTGGCCAAGAAGGTAATAACTTGGCACAAGCGTCATCTCCTCATACATTTTGATTCGAAGCAGACATCATTGTAAAGGTAAAGTGTTAAAGAAGTATTTCTCAGTCACAGTAGAAAGTGTGACGCTGCCCCATTTCTCATATTAATTGCTCCAAGCTATGCTCATTAATAGACGAGAAAAGATCCATGCACTTCCTTGCTTTGAACATGACTAATTAACCCCAGTTTGTTTTCAGTCTCGCTTTGGATTTTTAAAGCTGTTCTAGACCTCATAGTCACTGTTTCTTGTCATTTAGCTCAGGATTACTCTGAGAAAGTCTCTAAGAGGTCCACTTATAAAAGGATACACATGCTGTGTCCAAAATGGTCCCCTAATCACGACACTGCAAAATCTGGATGACTATAAAGCACACTTTTATAGGGAACAGAATTGGTGATGGTAGCAGAAAGAAGAATTACCCTTCCGTAATGTCTTCTGGGTTTCTCAACCGCTAGACAGCGCTCCTGAGCGAGTCCAAAACGAATGGGTTAAGATGGAGCATTTGACTAGGGTACATTGGTTGTACTATACTTATTGTGGTGCACTGTGGGTTTATTTGAGTGCACTGGATCTTCTGCACTGTTTTTGGATACCACTACAAAATGGCAGAACCCTGAAAAAAGTTCCTTCAGGTGTAAATACAAGACATTTCTGCTGATTGCACATTAAATAATGCTCTATGTTTTAGGTGTGAAACTCATTTTAGGTAGCATCAGTCCAATATCAAGTGGTCCGGAACAAAAAAAAAAGATGCATTCTGAATTAACAAACAGACTGAACAGATATCACCGACAAACTTACTCACACTAAAGCTAGTTGGTATAACCAGTGGCCTAACTGGTATCTTATGTGCCTCAGTGCTAAAAAAAACGGAATGACAATCTTGTTTGCTCAATGTCGTTCTGTGCGTGCAGTGGTGACGGAAGCTAAGTGGTGAGTTACGTTGTTTAGAAATTGAATCTTTTTGCATGTCATGGGTGTACAACTATGACAATAAATATATGAGGGGCCCAATAAAGATTTTAGGGCCCCCTATTAACCACAGGCTCCCAGTACAATTGCCCCTCCCACTCCCCAAGTGGGTGCAACAGTAGATGCTTAGGATATTTCATCTTTTAGACAAGATCGTTGAGCAAATCTCAAGAAATGCAAAAGTACTGTACGAGTACATTTTTATGTTTATTGTTGCCTCACAGCAAAAAGGGCCTGGGTTCGATTCCCTGGCTGGGTGACCAGGGTCCTTTCTGTGTGGAGTTTACATGTTCTCACCCAGTCTGTGTAGACTGGCGACATGTCCAGGGTGTATCCTGCCTTCTGCCCAAGACTGCTGGGATAGGTTCCTGCACCCTACCGTGACCCCCCCCCCTCAACCCCACTCCCCCTGCGACCCAGAAGGACTGATCTCAACATTCTTTTACAAGGTTAGTTATCACTGATGTAAGCAAGTGCAGTAAATTTAGTTTACGTGAGAGCTGTTCATAGTTTTGGCACTGAAGAATTATGAGATGTTCCTCAGTTTTAGCCTCATAATTCTGACCAATTTACTGCCACCAGCGTTCTCACCGCAGAGTTTTCTGAGGAGTTTTGTTCACTTGTTGGAAGAAGTAGTGCTAAGAGACGGCTGCTAAGCAATGACTGGTTGAGTGTTGCGTCAATCATTATTTTGTGAACAATCAATTGCAGTCCACAAGACGACTAATAATGACTAATAATTAAGAAGACAGATTCTATATTTATCTGGTGGGCTGGATAAGAACCGTAACGGACCGTATGTTTCACACCCCTGCTCTATATTGTCACAGCTGTCACAATGTAATTGCTAAAAATATTTTATGACAAAATTACGAAATTGAAACAATCAAGATTTGGAGGCAACACATACAGCACGATAACTCACTGAATTAAAAAACATCAAAGTTACAAACAAACCGGTTTGGGGAATACTTTGAACATACAGTAGCTGGTTGGCATTACAAAAAGAACAAATACACATAAAAAACAATACGAAATTAATTCTTTGGTGCAAATTCATACATATTAAAAGACAATTAAGTAGTACAGTTAAGTAGTAGAATACAGTCATAGTGTTAGGAAATGCTCATTTTACAAAAGTCTTTTTGAACTTGAAAAACAGTAGTCAACATGCACCTTTGATAAAATGGTGGTTAAATGTTATTAAATATGTACAAAATCTCAAAAATCAAATGTTTTCATATAACATTGTTCATATATGAATTCAACTATCCGACGAAAGTACACATAAAATACAGTTTTGACACGTTTCAAGCACATTTTTTTCTTTTTTTACAGTCTTTTCTATACGAGGAATACCAATACGGTATCAAATTGTGCAGCCTTAGGAGGAAGAGTTAAAATATTCTATACAAACTGTGCAATGATAAATGTGAGACTTGAATCCTTATAAACACAGTGATTGCTGGGTTTTGGTGTGAGGTGGCCAGTTGTTCAAGAAGACTCTTCAAACTTCACAAAATAAAGCAGTATCTGTATGTATATATATCTATATCTATATATATATATATATATATATATATATATATATATATATATATATATATAAACAGTGTAAATGGAACATAATCATAGTCAATCAGGACCAAAACATGCTTAGTGTTGGGCTTAAACCACCAAAAATATTAGAAGTAATGTATTAATTCCATACTGAGTTTTTCTGGGGGGATAACATGGAAGTTTATGCAGAGGTAAGGCCATATTTGAAATCTTTGTTTCAGACAGTTTAACACATTTAAGGTGATCGCTCAGTCAGTAGTTTGATCTTAGTTGTTCTCAGTTTTTCACGGAAACATACGTATGAAAGAAACACCATCTTTGAGGTGTTTATTTTAAATACTTTCAGCACTAACACTTTTGAGGCTTTTGCTCAGCCAGGAGTTCATTTCGATCCCAGTGGTTTCTTAGTGAGTCTGTTTTCATTGGTGTGGAGTAGCAATTTACCTCAAAAACATTTGACCTTCAAAACATAGTGGTTATATGGCACAGTCGTCCTGAGGGGCGGGGCTGAAGGCGGAGCTCCGTAAGAGGTCCAGGCAGTTAACAAGGATGAGGGTTCCTGTCAAGTGTCTCCAGCGCTTGGTGATGGGGTTTTTCATTTTGTCCAGTCCTGTGTGCAGCTCCTGAAGCACGTCCCTGTAACTGTCCCCGATCTGGGCTGCCCATGTCACCAGGAAGTCATAAGCTGGCTTCCACATGGCCTGAGAGAAGAAACAACAGTAGCGAAGGTCATTAAAGGAAGTCATAGAACAAAACACAAAATAGAATACAAAACATGATATTGGAATCATATATCATTTACCTATATATCTCTATCTATCTCTCTCTCTCTCTCTTTATATATATATATATATATATATATATATATATATATATATATATATATATATATATATATATATATATATATATATATGTATGTGTGTATATATATATATATGTATAGAGAGAGAGAGAGAGAGAGAGAGAGAGAGGATGGAAGTTATGGAAGAAACATAAAATGAGAGTATTAAACTTTTTCATGTTTTTCAAATATTATTAGGTTGTTATTGCACTTGTTCAACTAAAAGAAAGAAAAAATGCACCATTTAAAACTATGATGAACCCATTTCAGGATCATTCAGCCAAATGTGATTTAGCAGACGCCTTTAATTTTAAAGATTGAACATGGTCTGCAAAACTGAAAGGATATACAAGTAAATGGGATTTCTTAATAATCCTGGTCCAGTATGTATCTAAAACAAGCTGGATATCGGCATCAGAATTCCCACAATTGTGCACCGTAAAAGAAATATCCACAATTTTGTTCACTCTCAGATATGGTCTCTGGAGCAAAGTAGTCTGACATGCAAAATTCATCTGTCACAACATGTCTACTAGTGCACACTTCTACAGTATTAAAGTGGAATATTAATAGAACATCCATTAAATAAGTTCAGAGTTAAATTCTGATTCAAAGTTGTGTGTATTTTTTAGCTTGCATGAGCCTTACATACATATTTACAGCTGCTTCTGACAGAATTAGTATGCGCATATCTATATTACATGTCAATGAAAGCCACAGATTTTTACATCAGAGTACATGCGAGTGTGTATGGTTCCCACCTCGCTGTCCACCACCCCATCTTTGTCTCTGTGAGGAGCCTCATAAGCATCCATTTGCTTCCGGGATACTTTGGCCAGTTTCTCAGCCAGCTCCCTCCAACGGTCGGCCACCTCCACTGCTGCGGTCAACAGTGCAAAGTCCTTGACCAGCCGAGCCACCAGACCCTGACAGTCCATCTTCAGCAAAGCCTGAAGGGCACAAAAGAATTTGTTCTTACTTGCTGAGCTCCAATAATGCAACAGAATTGTAAGGAATACTTTCAAATTGAAAAATGCAGTTCCGTTGGCATAAATATACATATAAAGATCTTATAAAGACAGTCACATATTGTGTTATGTTTATTGAATAAATACTTTTTAACCTGGGCATGCATTAGAAAACAAAACACTGCAGCCCAATACCAGAACCTCATCCCAAATGTGAAGCATGGTGGATGTTATGACAGCTTACTGAATTCCAAGTTTCCTATCTGGAAATTGTATAGCAGAAAGCCTATGTCACAGTCCTTTAAAAAACAAGGGCATCATTTGAAGCAAACTGTTCAGAAATATACATAAACTGAAATGTGTAAAGAGAAACTGGAAAAAAAAAATTCTAGCCACTCAAACCTGATTCGCATCTACAGAAAGGGCTTCACTGAGAAAATCACCAATGGGGTCCCCTACCGAATATAGAGTTTATCTACATTTTCCATCACTGGCCATGCTTATTTAAACCATGCATTCACAAAAAATATAGTAACAACTAATGTGTGTTGTTTACTACAGTGGGCACTGTTCAATTATTCTTTATAGATTGACTTTGGAAAGAAGGCTAAGCTAAGGAGTTGTTCTGTACCAACAAACTGGCCTTGACCTCATTTTTTTTAAATACAAACTGCAGGTGAAATACATCCTATGTTACACTGCAGTAAGTAAATTATAGCAAGTGGCTAGATAGTGATTATAGCAGTAGAACTTAGAGACTGTTGCGTAATTAGCCATTCTAAGTTGGTACGAGCTGGGGCATGCAAGAGTTCACAATGCACCAAAGATACAAACAGCTTGTGAACGTTACAGGTGCAGCAGATATCCATTCATGTACACACTGAAATCACCCAACAGCACGCATAAGAGATAAAAATCTCACATGGCTCCACAGACTAGTGGTAACTGTTGTATAAGGAAGTATGAAAAATATCACAGACGACCATCACATATTTACTCACAAATGTGATCAAACATGTATGTAGATGTATGTGTGTATGTATTTTACATTCAGGGGCTTTAACAAGTAGGCTACTTGGGGCGTACTTAGTTTTGTCCTATTGTCCTAATTTATCAATATATTTCATTTCAGTTCATCACTAGAAATTAATATTGTTGCAGTGGCAATTATGGTATAAACAAAGGCTACCAACTTTATCATTATGTTAGATTAAATTTATTGTTATATTTTTAAAAGTTCATGAATTTATGCCTGAATATCTAGTGTACTGTTTTTTTTTGGTTGAAGAAGAAAACAACAGAAAAAAAGAAGTGCTTTGGAAGAGAAGATGTGCTTTGCATGAATGACACAAAAATATAAATATGCACTAATTATACTTTTCTATATATGCATGTGTGTCACAACCTTCCTCGGTGTGCCCCATGTCCATTTCTAAGGAACGCTGCCATGCGGTTGCTAAGCACCGCACTGAAAAAGCGGGATCAATCAGGGGCTTGAGTTTACATGCTGTGCACTTTGATGAATTCGCAGATAGGCAGGGAGAGAGGGAAGTACGTGCAGTTGCGAGCATAATTTGCCAAAGGCCATGCAGGCCCTTTCAAACGGGAAAAAGTGGGAAGGAGGAACATCCGGCTGGTGTGTAGGAAAAGGCTGGAGTTTCTGTTTGGTTTAACTGGCTAGTTGCTTTCCCACCCTGTCCTCCCTTGTGTGAGTAGCAAGGTATATTAAAATTTCTCAGTGAAATGTCTGAAAACTCCAGATATGGGTGACTGAAGTAAGCCTTTAGAGAAGGAAAAGCTGGTTTTATAGTGTACAGACAAGACATCATGGGATCTGAAGCACTTCCAAACCTTTTACAAACAAAGTGATGCGAGGTGTTTGCACATGCTAACATATGCACGCTCATGTGCGCACACTTACACTCTCTCTGAGCTCTGTAATCTCTGACTGCAGTTCCATGGACTGGAATGCACGGTATGAGAGGAAATGAATAGGGAGGGGTAGGAAGCTATGATACTCCAGAAGAACTATTCAAGCAAAGGCCCCAGACAAAAAAGAGAGAGATAGTGTGAGCTTAGGTAGCATTTCTGCCAGCTGTCATTGAAGAATGCTGCTTCTGGTGACTGTGTTTAACAGGAATCGTCCTGTGTGTGGAGTTCACATACCTGCTTTTTTTCTAATCACTCTGTCATGTTCCTCTAACTATTCGTTTAACTAGACTCAGAGGGCAATAGTAATCATAATAATCTTTATTTATATAGCACATTTTATATATTAAGCTCAAAGTGCTTTACAATACAAGGTAAAACCAACAGAGAAAGAAGAGAGAAAAGGTAATCAAGAATAAAATAAACAAATGCAACATAGAAAAGCAATAACAGACAAGGGGATATATGTTTTTAATTTGTTTAAAAAAACGGAGCCTGACAAATGTTTTCCCAGACCCAGATTGAGCTAAATCCTAGACTAGAAAGAATTTCCAGTGGTGATTCACCATAGGCACCACAATGTAGTTTAAGACTAGGCTTACTCCATGTCCAGGAAACTGGCCCACAGCATTTATATTAGTAGTGGTTAGTATGGTCAAAATTTAATATTACTAAATTTTTATATGCTAAAATTTTATTTATAATTGAAGTGTTAAAGTTGCTACATGTTACAGTATATATGCATATATTTTGAAATAAAAACATTTTAGATGTTGATTTTAGCATAAGTAAACATTTGTGTAGGTTTACACATTATTCTGAAATTCTTGTCCCTTTTTTATTGTTCAAAATAGTAAAAACAAAACTGAACAGTATATAGATATAAACTAATATTGCTTTGTAACACTAAGCCCATAAATATGAATTTCTACAAGACTTATTCAGTAGCTTTTTGTTCAAATTTTCTGTTACACCTTAAATGGAGCAGCAATTACATTGTGGCTCCTGTATTTAACTGCTGCCCCAATTAAGGTGGAACAGGAATTTCAAATAAAAAGCCAACCCTTTTATGAACCTTTAAACTTAATAAAATTTCTCAAGCCATTTGTCGTAATCCTTCCTACCATACACACCTGCCAACAGCTGTCAATGTACTAGACAACGTGAGGTGATCAAAGGACTACTGCATTTTCATTGTGATTTTGTGATGTGACTCAGCCACTCAGCCAAACAGGCTAACCTCAGCATGATTTGCACTGTCTGTACATTGCATTATTGCTTATTTGTAGCATACCGGTATAACTGTCAGGACAAAACTCTTACCTGAGGAAGAATTTCAGCCCACTACTAATTTACCTAACCTTTTTTTCCCACAGCTCCCTGCTTACAAAACATAAACTGTAGCAACTCCAAAAGTATTCGAAAAGTCCAACAGTATTCGAAAAAAGTGAGATGAGTGGATTCTTCATTAACATTTATATGTTGCAAAGCAGTACAATGCCTGGCCCTAGTAAACAAGTCCTCCACTGATAGGACCCTCCACTACACGTTTACTCAGTTGCCAGTTTCCATTTACTCTCACTGTGTTGGAAGCTTAGCTCACTACTCACAAATTTGAACTGTTGCTTTTGACTTCAAAAATATTCAAAGAGTGCTGAGTGAAAAGAGAGGATTAACACAGTTCAAAGGAGTTCAGTGCTCGGCCCCGACAAACAAATCTTCCACTGATAAGACCCATCAATAGATGTTTACCCAGATGCCAATTTTCACATACCTTTAATGTGTTAGAAGACTGGGTTCATGTTAGAAATGCCACTAGCAGATGAAGTCATCATCTTAAATCAAGAGTAACTGTGAGAGGCTTTTCAACCAAGGAAACAGCATTAGGCACTTTGCTGCTGTCTAAAAGCTCTGTCTCTGTTTAAATGCTCCTGTGATGACTTGCTGGGCTTAATGGGAAAATATTAGGGAGGTCTGACTGCGTAATTCCTTGAATGACTTTCTGTAATTATAGAACTTTCTACTCATTTAGCTTAGACTGTGTTAGGTGTGCTTTAACTGTTGGCTTATGTATGCCTCCACTTTGCATCTGCAGGGCACCAGGCTACACTTTTAACTGATTTGCAAATATATAAAGGATTATATAATAAACATCACCTACTTCACCACTGGACAGCATCTAAAAAATGACAGAGATGACTGAGGTTCTTTTTATTATTCTTATGTGGTTAATAGTAATAGTTTAGTCTCGATTACGTTACTGTTATATTACCAGTAAGACATATGTAAAACTACGCCTTACTAATAAAAGCCAGTGATACAACATATGCAGACTGTTACAAAATCCTGTTCCAAAACCAGTAACTGCTACACACTGAAGCACAAAAGGCCTGAAAATGTACTTCATCCCAACATAAATTGATTGGAAATGTTTGTATTTTAAATCAGTCTAGAAGTGTTAAGGCTGAGCTATTGTGTACTCACACTAAATATTTAAAAGGGCTTATCACTGCATAAATCCATGCAGCCCTTGTTAAATATACATATATTTAGTGATGTCTGAACCCGAACTGAGCCTGACCGTATTGTGTGCGAACTCAATCCAACCCAAACCACATAATCATGTTTTAGGTCCAGACCTGGCCTGAGCCCATCACAATTTTGCCCGAAACTGAGCCGAACCAGCCCTTCATCAGCAAGTGCCAAATACAACTGTTATTAAATCATGTAGCAGCAATGACAGCTGTTATTAGATTATTGATTAAAAAACATATATATATATATAAAACATCAGTAAAATAAAATATTTACCTAAGTACTCCATCTGGATAAACATACCATACTGCACTGTTTTCATGCTGAGCAGTGCTGATGTAGTGAAATATCTGCCTTTGCCTACTTCATCCTAAATCTCTATTTTCTATAACTCAAACAAGTTACATAATATGTATTATAACAAGTGTGCACAACTCTGGTCCTGGAGGGCTGGTGTCCAGCACAGTCTGGAGGTTTACCTACTCAAACACACCCACTAGTGTGTCAGGTGTATTTGAGCAGGTAAAATCATCAAACTGTGCTGGACAACCAGAGTTGTGCACCCCTGTATTATAACAACACTATAACAAGATTATTTTAAATATATTGATATTATTTCACATAAATACTCCACAAACAAAAGATATGGATCATATATCACTATGTGCACATCAAAAAATAAATTTTACTGCAGAATTGTAAACTAACTTGCAGCCAAAATCAGGTCAATCACACCGGATAACAATCTCTAAAAAAGTCATTAAAAGGCCAAAAAACATCAAAATGCATCCACATCGTTCACAAGCAACCACATTATTCACACTGTTCACAAACGTTAAGTGATTTTTCTGCAACCTGACATTACCTAAATTGTGCAACTGTACTATCTAATAAATTACAAATACTGGACAGGGGGGCAAAAACACTGAATCGGGACATGCCTAGATACATATTTACATACTCAAACTAAATGTAACCATGACTGCGTCTGTTTTTATTGGCTTGATCCAAATTGTAAAAAGTGAGCGTGAAGTATGGGGCGCCTCCTGCTCCACTCATGGCTTTTCTGTTTAGATGCAAACAATGAAAAAGGAAACATCTGTCGAGCTAAGATTCTCTACAGAGAGACACCCACTGGCCTTCTTCCATCTTCCGCCAATACAGAACAGAATACTAATCACAAGTCAGTCTGGTCTGGTCACACAGATGAGACTTCAAGAAGCTCCACTGGACTTGGCTCAAAATTTAGGGCGTCACTGTTTTACCAGGTTTTCCATGCCAATTATAAAACCCCTGCCTGGAAATACACTTCAGAATTACAAATGACTGGAACCAACTTTGCACAAAAAGTGTTGCAAGGGAGGTGAGGTTTTATTTTTTCCTTACATCGCCCTTCTGCTTCCTCCGCAAATGATCCCTACATCTTGCGACACACACACCATGGCAACATGGTCAAACTGCATGTTTTTGTTGATTTTCTAAGCGAAAGTACACTTCGGCACATTTTAATGCAGAAATACTGCCGATTTGCTCAATTTAACACATCAGGAAAAAAATAAAACATAAAATATGGCCTGTGCTAAAGTTACAGCAAATTCTACTTTTTATTTTATTTTTTTCTAATATATTAAACTCAGTAAATAATCAGAAATTATGCAATAAAATTAGCAGAAAATATCGCATTTAAGTTTGTTCCCTTTAGAGGATGTGTTAACTTATTTTCCTTTAGAAAATCAACGAAACATGTCATTTGACAGTAAACATATGGAATTCAACCGATTTATTGCTGTTCGTTTATAATTATTTGCCCAGTAACAAGAAGCAATCAACATAGCTTCAGAGTATTAATATAATTTCTGATTTGAGAGACTGTACATAGCAAGTGTCAATGACCCAGTGCTCAATTATGTTTAAAAAACAAAACACCACAACAACCTACAGTGCCATCTGGACAAACATTGTGAGAAGCTTGTATAAGCACTTCCGACACTGTCAAGCTGTAAAAACAGCAGCCTTGAAGTCGATTCGTGACTATGTGCAGCAAGGCACAACGGCTCTGTATTACAAGTGCTGAAAAAGTTTTTAAATAGAGACATTCTTTATTTAAAACAGCCTTAAGGCGTATCTCAACTCAAAGGCAATGTTTGTGCTTTGCTTTTCAGTGTGCACAACTGTAAAACAGTTTCACAACATCACTGCAGACCAAAATGTCTCATCACTGTTGCCTTCTATTCTGAATCGACATAACAGGATTTCTCTAACACTTAAAATTTTGCACTCAAATGGAAGCGTCTCAGTTCAGCTTCTGACAACAATATGGCAGACAAACAGCATTATCATATACAAAATGTGGAATATTGCTTTTGTTACACTTACTTTATAGGGCCTATCAAAGAAAAACAGCTCAGCCTTCTTCACAACAACAACACAAATCCTGTGATTATGCTGAACATAATGGTATACATCAAACAGCAAGACAACTCCGGGTTTCAAACTGTGAAAGAAAAGTACCTATCCAATCCTTCATTGTTTAATTAATTCTCTCAAGCAAAAACGACACTTTCCTCAGTGAACATCCTGTTTCAGGTTCCTGTTGAATCTTGGGTTGTTTCCAAACCCTGTTGACACACAAGAGCCAAGTGTGTATGTGCATGTGTGCTTTTCAGTGGGTTACTACATCACACTGCACAGCTTAAATGGGACAGAGGCTTGGTGTGGGTCAGATTTTAATTACAACGTGGTTATTTGTTGTGATCAGCAGTGGCTTATGGATGGACAAGTAAATGATTTTATAAGCTAAAGCTACCAAACATTAGGGCTGCAATAATTGGTCAACAAAGTCGACTACATCAATTATGAAAAATGTTGATTTTTTTACTGTCAGTATGTCACAGGCATAACTTTAAATGACAGTGGTGCAAATGGAGATAAATTCAAGAAAGCAAGATCCATAAATATCATAAAGCAATACAGTGCATGATATGTAAAAGTGGCTATAGCATTTGACAGCAACAAGACATGATGCAAAAATAAAATGAAACATGAGTTTCAATATGCCTGCTGATCCTGCTGCCAGTGGGTAAGCTCTTTTAACTAACTAGCCTTAATGGCCAACGTCAGCCTAGTAAAGTTAAAGTTAGGCTACATGTTGTAAAACAGGCACATTTCAGTGAAGTGCAATAAGCACAATTAATGCTATTCTGAGAACAGTTCAATAATTAAACTGTAAAGTTCCAGACTAACGGCTTCGGGTCTTCCAGGGAAGATAAAAATAACGCACAGGATGATATTTAATCTGTTTTAAGATGCTTTCAGGGTGCTCAAGATTTTAAGATATGCCCCACTCACATATATGGTGGCAAAAAATGGGAAATAGATAAATGATTAAATGTGTGCTGGGATTAAAAAAAGGAAAGGTGATACGTTAGATGACAAACAAAAGTAGCAACTAAATAATTATTTATTAATCTTTTAAGCATTATTTTTCATTTTTTTAATATTTTGAGAATTAATTTTTTTTTAACTTACAATTTACAGTTAATCGTAATTTTGATTCAGCAACAATTTTAATTTAGCAATAAATGTAACAGGTATGTAAAAAATGCAATTTAATGATTCAAACTGATGTTTCTTGTGTCATTAATAAAATTTATTTCTCACAGAAACAGAAACATTATCGATATATTAGTTTAGTGGATTAGACAAGTAGATTCATTGAAGAAACAGATGCTAAATTAACCGATAAAAAAATACTTCTAAGTTGCAGCTCTACTGAGCATATCTACATCAAATAAATAGACTAAACCTTTCTGAAAATGTTCTAATTTATTCTTACAATCCATCTCAGCCAAAAGGTTCACATTTTTGTCAGAACATCGGACAATGCTGAGGGGATTCAGGTGGATTCATGTTGGGGGCTGGAAAAGAACAAAAATGTGGCCAGCAAGAAATGCTGGATCAGATACTGTAACTAAAAATGAACTGATATGATATGATTCTTTAACAAATCTAGCCCTTTTAGCAGAACATAATGTAAAGTGAAGTAATGAAAAGTGATAAAAACAGCAGCCACATGCAGACTAATGTTAACATACAAACAGGTTACTGTATTGTACTAGAAATACAATTGCACACATGCAAAGAAATTTCAGATTAAAAAAAAATTAAAATAAAAAAAATCTAAAAATTAAAACAAATTAAGTAGCTGAAATTAAGATTTGTGCCCTACAGTCATATCAACCACACACCAACCATACATCACCCAGAGGTCAAAGCTGCCTATTCCCTGGTTCCCCTGGTCATATCATTTCACATTTCTGTTGCTAAAAATGCAGATTTTTTTTGCATTGCGTTGTTGTCCCTTTTAACAAACCACCAGACAAGTTGAATTTTTAGACAATCACAAGTATCCATCATAAATAACAGAACAACCACTGTTTCTACTTCCCATGCAAGAACCAGAGCCCGTTTGGTCAGACATTGAACTAACTGCATCAAATCAGATTTTGTCAGAATTTGATACCTGGGGCCACGTGACAGTAATATTCTTAATTATGCTAAATTTAATGTGATGTAAAAAGTTTTTAATAAATATGTTCTTTTTCAAAGCAATGATTGGTTCTTGGTAATAACGTGTGTTTGTTCATTGTAAATTCAGTGGCCCTAACTCATTAAAGTTGCAGAGAAACATATACTCATAATAAATAAATTCAACTGCACTGAATGACATACAAATTACGTTTCAGGAAATTCAGGAAAATGTCCTACGTCAATGAAATAATTGTGATTTGAGCAGAATTGATGAATCAGCTTTAGTGATTTACGTATCACTTGAGACAGACACACCCCAATTAACCCTCAAATGCATAGACGTCAAACGCATGCCCTAATTCATGCAAATGGTTCAGTAGAGATCCAATAAAATATATATAACCTTTTCCAGGACGTGTAGGAACTCAATTACTTATTGTAATGTGTACATATAGGAATGAGTGTGTTCTATTTTTTATTAGATATTTTATCAAAGATACTTAGCTCATGAGTGACAGAGAAAAAAGCGAACATAACACAATATTCCACCCTGTATAATATTTAAGCATTAAACATTTCCTTTCATTTAAATTACTGAGATTACTGGCTGACTACTTAATGAACTAACACTTGTGTGTAAAACCTGTATGTTGGTACATACCGTCATGAGCTCATTCTGGAAGGACTTCCTGTCTTTTCCCTCAGCTGCATTGCAGTCTTCCTTAAGCCTCTCCAGAACCGAGGCCACTTTTTCAGGCTCGCTTTCTGGCTCTGTTCGACAAAAGTGTGCCAGAGGAAGGTTGACATAGCCCAGGGCATCAGCAAATGCTCTCCAGCTGCCCACGTTTTCCATCAAAATAGTCCTCACTGAGGCATAGATGTAAGTGAGACATTTGCAGGGCTTTAGGATTTGGTCCAAGAGCGCAGCAGAAGTTAAATCAGCCCCCTTGAAATTAACAGGTTTGACCTTTCCCATTATAAGAATGTTCTTTGCATGTACCAGTCCTATCCTGCCATGATAGTATGCAATGTACCACTCTTTGGTCCACAGATGCCCCTTAAGTTTGACTTTTTCCTCGTTCAAAATTGCCACTACATCTCCTTTTAGGTACTCCAGTAAATACGGGTTCTTCGTCTGTCTAATGACAGTTTTCAGCAACTTTCCAAATTTGATATTTTTGACTGGTCTGTCTTGAAACACAGGGTATTTTACGATTGTCACAAGAGGAGAGAGGACAATTTTGTTCATTTCTTTTTTCTTCAAGAAGCGCCTCTGCACAGAGCCCCTTGTCGCTGCCTTTGGTGGAGGTGGTGGCGTCTGAACACAGAACTGGGCAAGGATGCAGTCCTTGTCATCTTTAACCTGCACCCGCAAAGTGAAGTCTGAGATGTTCTCTGTATCACGGGCAGATATCAAGTAGATGAGGCGGGACACTTTGCCAAGTTTGAGCTGAAAACCCCTCACTACCTTTGCCTGCTCACTGACCTTCACTTCAAAATTTGACATGTTGGAATACATACCAACTTGAAGATCTTGCGGCTTTGCAAGGACAAACTGGTGTTTGCCCCACAGCTGAAGGGTCACTGGTGGAGTGCAGTGAGACTGCTTTTTAACCTCGCTTACTAGTAATGTTTTTGGTGCACAGTCATGGCCAAATATAGCAACCACTGTCTTAAATGATGGGTGGATATGTTTGGGACCATATACACCAAGTGTAACCTTCTTTACAACATGCTCCCACACTGTAGCGTATGGGGCTACAACCTGGGCTTGAGCAACAACTGACACATACATACATGGCTCTAAATTGTCCAAGGCTACTTGGACTGTATCTCCATACATATAAGCATGAGGAACTGGAACATAAGGTCCCTCCTTGCAGTCACTCCGGACGCAGACTACTTCCGCCTTTTGTCGACTCTCCATCTTTACTACAACAGACACTTTCATCTCTAAGGTAATGGTGGTTTTAGTTTCCATATTACTGAGCTTGACTTCCACCACTGGGCTCACGGTTGTACATTTGTCATTGTTTAACTCCAGTGGTGGGTCCAGTAAAGCCTTCAAAGATATCTGCTGAGTGTCACCTGATGCAACATGGCCTTCGGGTACATGGATGCTGATGCTAGTATTGGGTAACTGGACAGCACCACCTGAACTGTCCAGTTTACATACAATGTTGGTCTCTATGGGCTGTGTTTGACCCCAGCCAGGGTTTTGTCCTATAGAATCAAGATTATGGCAAGACCTTGTGAGCTTCCGATGGTTTAACCAGGCATTTTTGAAATCTTCTCTACTTTGAAACTGTTCAGGTGTTGGTGACTTCAAGCCACCAAAGAAACTCAAGAACTCTTGAGGTGCATCTGCCTGGGACTGCAAAATAGACAGCTCTGACAAGCTGTAACAGCGTTTGCTCCTGTAAAACGGATTTTCTCTCCGGAGAACTTGGCTTTTCCCTGTGTTAGGTGTCAAGCAGTTTGTATCAAATATATTACTTCCAAAGCCGTTGATGTTAACTGTGCTGCTGGTTTTTGAGTCAGGAGAGGAGAGCGTTTTAAAACCAAGGAGATCTGCCGAACTCTGGATACTGTTTTGATCAGCTGTGTCTTGCAGAGAACAATCTAGGAAAGGATTGGCAGACATCCGCTTAGTTACAAAGGGATTCCCATTCTGAGAAGGTGTAGGTTTTACGATCCCTGACCACTCTTCACGTTGCTCTAGCTCTTTCGTTCCATCCTTAGAAATGTCACCTAGACTGTCGATCATGCCACTGTCGCAGAATGAAGAGTCTCGATGTTTGATAGGCTGGACATAGGCTGCTGGGATGTAACCCATCTCAGTGTTATTGTGAGCATACCACCATTCTCCACCAGATGTGTCAAGAACGTAGAGGCAGTCTCCCTTAGAAAACTTTAGGGTGGTGAAGTTTGATGGACAGTAATCCTTAATGGCAATAACTTCTCTAGCAGTTTCAATTGAGGCAGTTGCATCCAGTCGTAAGGCACTAGGGGTAGGCACTGGAAAAAAAGAGCAAATTAAATCAGTAGGAGTATCAGAATATCCACTACTGAGAGCATGGAATGGAATAAAATGCCTTTAAGTGCTACTGACAGGTAATATTCACAACATCTGGCACAGAAAGAAAGGAGCAAACCTTTTACATCAGTGAGGGTGGCTTCTGAAACCCCTTCACTCAAATCAATGAGCGCTCCCTCAGACTTGCAGCGAGGAAGTGCAGCATTGTTGTTTGCTGAGCGAATTCGATGGGCAGCCATGGTTTCTTGCTGTACTTTCCCGTCTCTGTCAAGGCGCTCCTCCCATTGCTATCTTCTAACAGCAACAGTGATCAGCAGTCTTTCATAACAGTCTGTTGGGAACCAAAAACAAGGCAAGATAATTACTTAGTAGAAGATAAACTAAGTGCAAATTGTACTGTTAGCAGCAGTAAACTGTGTCTTTTTGATTCAAAGACATACTGCCCAGAACATTTCATGCAGACTCGTAATCTCCAAAACTCTTCAGAACTTTCTAGACAAGAATGTTCCACAGGTTTATCAGCAGGGACTTCATGTGAAATAACTTCTGGAGATGCAGTGTTTCACCAAATTAATTAATAAAATGATTAAATGAATAAATATGGCACTGATTTTACTGTAAAGAATAATCCTTTAATGTCTTCTATTTTTCAAACTGCATTCTTACAGTCCCTGAACAGTCACAAGAGTATGTTAGTTTTATGCATTTAAAGAAATTCAAATAGTCAGTTTCACAAACTACTTAACAGCGTTTTGCAGCCCTTACAGTAAATCTGGTTCCAAATTAGTACCACAATTATTGCATTATGAGCCGCACCATAAATACAAAAAGGGCACAATTTGTCGTGACATGTCATGTTGAGAAACTAGAAAGGGAAAAATGTTTCTCCCTGTCTAGACAGGTTTCCCTAGCTCATTCCTTAAGTCCTCCAGTGCACTGGAGTGTGAAGGAAAGCCTCCGTCTCAGGGAAGCTTAATGGATTCAACTTGAATTATCTCTGAAAGTCATTTTCCTTGTTCATAAATTGTTGCATATTTGATAATTGATATTTGTTTAATACAGATCCTTAGATTTCTTCTTAAGATTCTTAAGAATGCAGCTGGGTCTGAAAAATCATATATGATCTTACCCAGAGCACTAAAACTTAGATATGAAAATTTTAGGAGGCATCATGCATATTAAATGTTTTCTTTTCATTGCTCAGAATGTAGTGGGAGAATTATGACATTATCTCCATGCATATGTGAGCAAAGAAATGTCGAAAAGATCAGTTACTATATATGTTATCTTTTATGTCTCGCCGATACGTGAAGGCAGGCAGTCGTTTCAAACTAAAAAGGTTTTGGTTGTGTTTTGATGTAATATCACGTTCTCTCTAGCATGTTTCAATTTGTTTACATATCATGCCACTATTCAAATGTTGAAGAAATGGCTCCTTGAATACGTTTTCACAGTTGAAATGTTTTGATTGTTCTCAGAGGCAGTTTGTAGTTATGTAGCAACAACATTCAGAAAAAGAAAAAAATAAATGAAGGTTAGTAAACTACCATGTAGAACTACATGTATTTATTTCATTTTGCAGTCCCCATGGCCAGACGTCAAATATGCAGATGCAAAACAGTGACAGTCTTTATAATTCAAAATTTGCCCTCAGAGGTCAGGCTCAGAGTGATCACTAAGGTGCAACCTTGCATCCTTTTATGGCTGATCTCAGACACAGAAAGCTCTTCAGAAGCCCACATTAGTGGTTTCCATGGGTACCACCTTGGAGAGGGGAGGCATTTACACAAGAGTATCTTCAGACAAATAGCCAAGTGTAACACTGTGAAGGTCTCACAGAAACCTGGCTTTATTGTTTCTTTGCGCATTCCAAAACTGCACATAACACATATGTAACTCAGACATATATATAAGTCTCAGTCTCAGTTAATTACACTGTTTCTATGGATTCTCCTTTCAAAAGTATGTCTTTGAAGAGGAAAAGAGAGAAAAACAGGATCTCTTGAACGCACAAATGTTGGAGTTCACAAATTATGCATTTACAAAGTAAAGGCCCAAAACCATTCCAAACACACCCTATGTAAGAGCTCCAGTAACAATGGCAAATAGGCATTTATTGTTAAATATACATAAAGTAAGCATCTGCTGTGGGCAATTTATTTTTTATTTAAATTTTTATATTATTATTATTATTATTGTAATGATTATTTTATTGTACATACTGTGCCCTAAAATAGTGTTTGTGCACAAAAGTGCTATAATTTCTAAAATGGAAATACATTTTACTTAAAACTGTTTTTAATTAGAAGGGCAGCAATAACAAACATTTCTGCTGAAAACTACAAGCTATATTTAAAAAATACAGTAGTATGTAAAGAATAAAAAACAAAGAAAAAAGAACACATTTAGTTCAAAAATCAAAATCAAAAATTGAGAAGCATATCAAGATGCGTAAAAGATGCATGTTTTAATAACTGCATCTTGGCATCCTGAATTAAAATCAAATTTATGAGGTGCTTAGAGATTCTCACCCCTCGTTTAGACAAATAAAAGCTGTGAGCAATATCAAAGTCATCATAGCTCAAGTACTCTAAGCTATGATAAGTGAACAAAATGACTGAAAACAGTTCTCATGGGCAATTCCAGGTACAGATGCAAAGCTGGAAATTCAATGTCAACATCAGGATATTATTATGCTTTTCTCTTCCAATTATCTTGAGAGTACGTTTGGTATCATCATAAAGCCTACCAACCCAAAATGATATCACTGATGTTTTGATGTTAGATGAAACCAATGACAGTATGTTGTGGAGACCTCATTTAGTACTGTATGTTTATTACTCAATACACTCATTAAGTACAAGTTATTAATTTTTCGGATGGAGAAGAGGAGAAGAGGAGAGTCCAAGGAAGTCAAGTGAAAATAGGAGCTTCCAAAACTGGAGTTCAAATCAGGATTAAAAGCTCCACAGAAAGTAGGACTCCTAACAACCATCTGCAAGATCTGGTAGACCACCAAATCTGTCCCCATCAGATGAACAGCACTTAAAGCTATCATCTTAGAGAGAGGAAAAAATCAGGCTCCATTCTTGCTTAGAAAAAGTCCATAGGTGTTTCTGTCCATCCTTCCACTGTGAAAAGACTCAACAGTATGAGTCTGAAAGGATGTGTAGCTGTCAAGAAGCTCTTACTGAGAAAAGGAAAGAGACACATTAAACAGAAGCTGCTAGTGTTCTCAGAACAATGGACTGACCACCTCAGAGTCCAGACCTCAACATCACTGTATGTGTCTGGATTACTTGGATGATGAGAAGCAGAAAATGCTAAACTAACTTCTAAGACTGAACTTTGGAGGTGTGGCTGCGGACTTCTTTGAGAAACTGAAAGTGAGTCTCCTGAATGGAAGAATGGAAGCGGTAATGAAGGTGAACATTGGACGCACTAAATATTGAAACAAATGTTAATTCAGTTGAATTTTCTATCTAATTTTCTGTTACATATTTTCTGTTTTTCTTTCCTTGATGTTGTAAAATAAATAACTTGCACTCATTTTGTGCAGTACTATATAAGAAAGGAACTGTTGTCAGTGAGGTTCCTGCCAAATATGTATAAGATGTTATCGATATTGTGACAAAATGTTTGTGTATGAAGTTCCTTGACGTGCCCAAGTCACTCCAAGGGCACTAACATGACTGAAAAGTGCAGGGGTAGGATGAGTAAAAGCTCCAATGTAGTTCAAATATTGAAATTTAATGAGAGCCACTAAAATGTTAATGCCAGTCACTAACAGACATTAGCTAGCAAGGCTTTTGTTGTTGCCTCTATAACGGCATTCACAAAGACCTCCCTTCAGCTTGGCTCTAGTCCTGTGTTTTGGTACCTTTCAACCTGTTTGTGAAATACTCTGCAAAAGCATTCACAATCACTGGCCAAATTCTGTAACTTCATTCACATGACCTGCATCAATGGGGAAAATGCAATATCAGAACGAACAGTTGTCTAAAATGGTGTTATTGGTACTAGCTTAATATCAGCATTCAGCTGATGTTTAGTAGCATTATGATTTTTACCAGGAACCCTTTACTACCATTTCCATGGGAAAGGGCAGGTATGCAAAAAGGAGATGTTGGGAATATGAGTGAAATAACACTAATATACCACTCTGGTGGTGGGAGAGGCCTTACCCCTTTACAAATCATCTATCAGTCTCTGAGTGGTAAGATCTGCCTTCCATACAGTGTACTTTGCAAAATGCCTCTGAGCTAAAATGAACACCTGGAGCAACGAACATTCCTTATCAATCCAATCTGGCTCCTAATGTGAGCAGTTACATTCCATTACCAAGTAAACAAATAAATAACTTGTATTATACATCTTAAGTCAAGAATCAATAACTTTCATACAACATTCAGCTCAAAAAGGATTGTTTGGAAGTGGCCATACACCACTGCAGTCCACCAATAGGGAAATCTGATATATGGCCATATATGCAAAGGGTCAGGCATATATTCCAAAACATATGAACATATATGTTGTGAACATATATGTAAGCATCAAATATTGGACGTATACGCATAATATGTGGATTACACATATATGTCTGAAAAATATGCTTTATATTATATAACATGAGTATTTGAATAATGTTTTCTATCATATATTGTTTGTATATGTTGATATATGACTGAAATATATGTTTCATGTTTGAAAACGGCCAAATCCAAATAAGTTGGCATATGTGCCACATATATATCCATGTGACAAATATAGGTTGGATAAAAGGGAAATTCATATATGCTAACATATGCCACCGTATGGGCATATTTAAATGCTACTTCTGCTATTGCTGTCATTATACTTTCCAGACAGGATGAGATAGCTTAATCATATACACACAAAAAATGAAACTGAAGTTACAGAATAATGGAACTCTTAATGTGAAAGCAAACAAGGACTTGGACAGTGCCATCTTAATGACCATCTAATCGGCAGGAAAACCAGGAGGAAATGCCTTTGTGATGAGGAGCAGTCAGGAGTTCCTGAAACCGTCCTCTCTTAACACAAGGGGTGAATAACTTTGACCCTTGAAATGATTTTTAGCCCTCAAGAGGACAATACACAATGACATACATTCCCTTGTCTCGCTTTGGTTTTTGGTTAAAGCATCAGTTCATGCATTTAAACATAATCTGTTACAAGTAGGTGCAACTGAGGAGGCTAATTTAAATTACATGTAACTGTAGGCCACTTGAATCAAATACAACGGCATAATGTCAACGTCTAGGTATCACCAGACTGAGAAAAATAACACCTTTTATAATGCATATCTGTCTGTTTTGTGGAGATATCTCACTCACTGAGGCTTTAAAGGATCTTCACCACAACACACTGGTGAAGTGAAGTAAAATAAAGTAGCTATAACTTACTTGTTTGAATCTTCCTTCACGCGGCATGAATTTGTCTTCACGTTTGTATCTGTGGAGAAAACGCCGTTCAGATTATTTTTGAAGGGCGGCATTGAAACAGTCAGCATGGAAGTAAATTAGCTTTAAGAAACTTCTTTTCAGACACTGTCAACAAAAAAGGAGGTTTAAGGCAGAGTTTAACAGCACAGCTTCAGAGTAACGTTGGCTGAATGAAAAAGACGAAGCTGAAGTCAGCAGCTTCTGGGAATTTTCCCGTTCCACCTTAAATTGTGCAGCGCTTACATTCCGGCGCCTGAGGCGTAGAAGGACTAGTGCACCATTTAAGGTGGAACGGGAAAATTGGAACAAGAAGTCTACTACATCCACAAAGGCGTTTTTCAACCATGTACATACCGATTTTGCCCACTTATAGTGAGGTTTAGCTATAAATTAGGTCAAAAGCCGTTAGAGAGAGGTTTTTTTTGAGAATTAGTAACTTAACTAGCTAACCGTTAGGGACGACAAATAACGTTACAGCTCCAGCATGGAGCATCGGCAGTTCGTCAAGTTGGTCAACGTGGAGCAGAGTGGAAGCCTGAGAACACCGACATGCTGTTCAGGGTATACTTAAATTGAGGAAAGTAAAAATAAACTTACTCCAGTTTTGACAAATCCCCCATAAGTTACTGAGAGAGCAGCTCGCAGTCGTTACTGAGGCAGGGCGAGCACAGCAGTGTAGCTCTGAGGGTTCGGCGGTGACGCTTCTGTTGTGGGCGGGGCCTTCCAGAGGAGCTTATACTACTATATTGTACTGTACAATACAATACAATGCGATACGATACGATACAATACTGTGCTATACAATACAACACAACACAATATGATACAATACAACACTACTATACAATACAACCCTATACCATACAATACTATACTATGCTATACTACACTACACTACATTAATGAACACCTTTGTAATGGTGATGTACAATTTTTGACATTTTAACATTTAATAGGGAATAATTCAGTCGCTTAGATGTAAACAAAGTCATTCTGACTGTTTTGATGTGGTGCATCATAGAGAAACGTACCGATTATTGTCCAGCATTAATGGTTGGAACCAGGGGGCAAAAAGTAAAGCATAAAATATGGCCTGTGCAAAAGTTATGGCACCTTTGATATTTTATGTTTTTTGCCCTTAACAATAAAATAGACACTGTGCACTAGAATTATCTTTGAAAATGCCATATTCAAGTTTGTTTCCTGTAGAAGATGTGTTAACCTATTTTCTTATTAATTAACAAAACATGTAATTTGACTGGGGGTGTCCAAACTTGTGCATAGAACTGTAAATAAACACACAAATAAATATAAATATGGACTGGGATGTCAGTCAACTCTTTCCTTTATAAAATCTACACCTTTTTCGGCTCTCGTCATAGATTGGTTTGTAGTGTCCTCTGCTGGACGACAAGCAATATAACAGCAACCTCTTGAAAATGACTTTTGCATTTTATACCGCAACCAGGTGCCATCAAACCATTCTCGAATTAAAGTATGGTTACTCACACCCATACTCAAATAAAATTAGCTAGAAAACCGAGCTGAGTAAAATCAGGTCCTCCAGCACTGATCTCACTGTGAAACTTCTCATACATCCAGCATCTATCAGCAAAGGAACTGAAGCTTGTTATTCTTCTCTTTTTCAGATATTTGTGAGATATTTGTCGGAAATGTGTGCTCACAATTAAACTTGTGAAGGTCAGTAACTGAGTTATCATTTGAAAAGTACAAATACATCCAAATTGTCCTTAAGTACATGTAATTAATATCCACTCAACTCTAACCATATGTCCTGCAAACTTCGGAGCATATAATCGCTGTCCAAAGTAAAACATGTATCTCCATGTTTTGTTTACATCATTTGAACACAGCAGCTGTCCTTTACATTGTGTGAACATTTTATGATAAATGGACCAATACAAATTCTCCAAAATCACTTTACATGAACTACATTAAAAGTTAATAATGTTTGTTTCCTGTAAATTTACTATTTTGGTGATTCATGTTTTTCTTTGGACAGTGACAATATGTGTGAACTAAATTTGACAACCCAAAGAAAATCCTGAGCTGCGGCTTTATTACAGTCTGTATTTTACTGTCTGATATATTGGCTTATTATGATATAAATTTTTGCACTAAAATTTGCTAAAGATTAGCTTATTCAAGTTCTCTCTAGAGGATGTGTTTAACTTATTTTTACTCAGATAATAACAACAAAACGTAATTTGACTAGGAGTTTCCAAACTTAAACAACTGTAACAGAATTGTTTGTTTTCTTAAGCTCACTATTTGATTCTTTAATTGAAAACCTGGATATTTTGTTTGAAGTTTTTGGTTTTTATGCATTTCTACTGATGCAGATGCAATTTGTGTTCAAAAACTGTATTTTCAATGTCACTGTATCCCATTTAGATCAGAGATGTTAGCATTTACTGATGTTACACACAACCTAAGACAAATGAGATACTGAAACGTAAAGGTGAGAAAAAGAAAGAAATGACTCTCTATAATGGCCTGTTTTGTTTCCATCTCGCTGGTACAGACACGCTGAATTTCATAAGAGCAATGTTCAGGATGTGACACATCATGTGTTTTGAAGCTGATGGATAGGAATGAGGAATAACACTGGGAAAAGTCTGGACACGTCAGTAACTAATACTTGGAAATGAAAACGCCAAGTATCTCAGTATTAGTTTTACTGTATGAGTTGACGTGTCTGTTTTCTCAAACCATATACAATCCCCATCCACTTTATTAAAAACACCTACCTTCTACTTCTGCCTATTGCCCACTTTATTAAAAATACCTACCTTGTACTTACACTCACTGGACACTTTATTAGAAACACTCACCCTGCACTTCCACTAACTGGCCACTTTATTAGAAACACCTACCTTGTACTTCCACTCACTGGCCACGTTATTAAAAACAACAACATTATTTTTCCACTCACTGGCCACTTTATTAGAAACAACAACTTTATGCTTCCACTCACTGGCCACTTTATTAGAAACACCTACCTTTTACTACCTCTAAACGGCCACTTTATTAGAAACACCCACCATGTATTTTCACTAACTGGCCACTTTATTAGAAACACCTACTTAGTACTTCCACTCACTGGCCACCCTATTAGAAACACCCACCTTGTACTTCCACTCACTGGCCACTTTATTAAAGACACCTACCTTGTACTTCAACTTACTGACCACTTTATTAAAAACACCCAACTTGTGCTTCCACTAACTGGCCACTTTATTAGAAACACCTACCTAGTACTTCTGCTCACTGGCCACTTTATTAGAAACACCCATGTTAAACTCCCACTCACTGTCCACTTTATTAAAAACACCCACCTTGTATTTCAACTTACTGACCACTGGCCACTTTATTAGAAACACCCACCCTGTACTCCCACTAACTGGCCACTTTATCAAAAACACCCACTCTGTACTTCCACTCACTGGCCACTTTATTAGAAACACCTACCTTTTACTCCCACTAACTGGCCACTTTGTTAGAAACACCTACCATGTATTTCCACTCACTGGCCACTTTATTAGAAACACCTACCTTGTATTTACACTCACTAGCCACTTTATTAGAAACACCTACCATGTATTTCCACTCACTGGCCACTTTATTAGAAACACCCACCTTGTATTTCCACTCACTGGCCACTTTATTAGAAACACCCACCTTGTACTTCCACTCACTGGCCACTTCCTTAGAAACACCCACCTTGTACTTCCACTCACTCGCACAATTTGTCAGCCACTCTCTACCCCATTCATCGCTTGTCTATTTCTGACCACAAGACTGCTGTTGTCCAGATATTATTTGGGTGGTGGTCCATTCTTAACACAGCAGTGGCATTGACATGGTAGTGTGTGTGGTGCTGGTGTGCGTGTATCAGACACAGCAGTGTTTCTGGAGTTTTTACACATGTCAGTGTCACTGTTAGTTTGAGAGTGGACCACTTTCCAAAAATATCCAGGCTCTGTGGCCAGAAACTGACTGTTGCTGAAGAACTAGAACATGGCGAACACTAACTGTACCTCAACAGATGAGCTACAGTCTCTAACTCTACACCAGCAAGGTGAAACTACAAAGGTTTCTAATAAAGTGGACAATGAGTGTAGATGCATAGCTTGTTCATAGTTGCTATAGTTGATCATTTAAGCTGTGCTGGCCAAAATAAGGCCATAAAAGAGACGGCATAAAATACTACTTACCGTTTTGCACGTAAAGGCTTTGGTGTTTTAAGAGAGAGTAGGCAAAAATATTGAATCTTCTTTCATCATTCTGTGGTGTGAACTGTGCAAACTTTGGTGTGCATGCAGGCAAATATGAAACAGGCTTTAAAGGCCATCTTACATTTTATTTTTTACTGATGTCTACTTATAAAATTACAATATACCAAAACAGCCAAAATGGACCCTCTTTGACACAGTGGAAGTCATCGCTGTAGGAAAACATTACAGCAGCAGTGCTATTTATGAATGAGAATGTAGACAAGCTTCTCCTTTATACTGTCTCTGGTATAGAAGATACATTTCACAACCTTATTAAGGTATTTACCAAGTTAGTTACCAAAGATGTTGTTTGTTGGAGCAGTTTTCATTTACAGAACAGAGTGAGCTTGATAAGTTCTACATTGAAAATATCTACTGACGGCACTGCTTAAGCACTGGATGGGCGAAAAATGCTAGAACTACTGGGCGGAAACTGGTGGTGTTATCTTAGTTACCTATTGTTAGGTAGAAGAACTGTGGGCTTTCTGCAGGGTCTTGTGTTATGATTGTGTTGATCGGTATGTTTTGACACTTTTGTATAGTAAATAATAGTATTAGTGATATTACTGCTTAAACACTAAAGTTATTAATTATTGCTATTTTGGTCAGCCTACATAAAAAGACTGACCTTGCTGTTTACAACATTGGACAAAACAACATGAAGATTAGACAGGGGAAAAGTAACATAATATGTCCAAAAGACAATGAGATATAACCAACTAAGCTAACTTTACTCCCAACCTGCACAACATTGACTATGCTGTAGTTAACTTTAGCTGACCTCACTGGGTAACTTGTCAAGAGATTCTTAACTTGTCTTTACAGCCATGCAGGTAATTCTCAAAGAAAAGCCTACGTGTAGACCGTATGAAGCTCACTCCTCTTTGAAAATGAAAACTGCTCCACCAAATAAACAACACAAAAATGAGATAATTGCCTTAATAAAGATCTAAAAATTACAAAGGAGGATTTCCTCTACATTTTTAATCACAAACATTGCCACTACTGTAATGTTTTCCTCTCTGTGATGACTTCCGCAGTCTGTTCACTGTTGTATGACCGTTTTTGTCCTTTAGAATTAAATAGGCTGACAAATGTAAATGACCTTTTTTCCCCAAAAAGCAATCTGAAACATTTTCTTAAAGTCAACATAAATCAGAACTCATCAAACATTCTCCATCATACAGTGACAAAACACTCCTGGCCAAATTACAGTTTTTGCTTGTTTTCTTTATTTTGCTTGTGGTTCAGTGGTAATGGTGATGCACAGTAACTTTATAGTTGATGAAAAAATAAAAAGTAATTGTGGCATGTACAAAATTTTAGACACCCAAATAAGTCAGTACTTACTAACACCCACTTTGGCAGATTTCATAGCTTACGAATGCTGTTTGTAGCCTGCGTCGTTCTATTCTTGTATTCTTATATTCTTACATGTTCAAGGGCTACCCACAGATTCATGACTGACTCTGTCACATCTGCTTCCAGAATGTACCAATATTTGGTAGAATTCATACTTCAGTGTACCTGTGCAGTGTTTGTGCCATGGCTGCCACAGAACTCCAAAGCATAATACATTCCCCCATTCTTAACAGTTGGCAAGATGTTCCTTTCATCAAATGCTGCTCCTTTTTTCCCCAAACATTTAGTTATTGTGGCCAAAGAGTTTCACTTATACATCATCAGCTCCCAGCACTTTGTTCCAAAATGCCCCTGACTTATCTAGATGTTGTTTTACATACTCAGATGTTGACTTTTGTGAGGTCAAAGACAGAGGTGTAAAGAGTACTGAAAATCCCTACTCAAGTACAAGTACTGTTACTGTAGTGATAATTTACTCAAGTACAAGTAAAAGTATCAGTAAACAAAATTACTCAAGTAAGAGTAAATGAGTAGTTCATTAAAAAACTACTTAAGTACTGAGTTACTTAGTTACTTTTTCTTATTTCCGCTGTCACAACCTGAACATATTTGAGCTGACTCGGCTACGTCATTGGAAATAATCTGTACAGAAAAACACTAAAGCTAAAGTTCTGAGAGCTGAGACTGATCACAGTTCGCTCTGTTAGAGCACAGTTACACACTTTTCTGTGAACTGTGTAAGGAACAAGGTTTACATTAAACTGCATGTGTTTCATGGTTAGATGATTATATAAGACATCCTAGTTTGTCTGCTTCCAGTAAAGTATTTCAGAATCCCTAAAAGACTGTGCAGAGGCTGTTACTGTTTAATTAAGTTCATTTAAGAGAAAAAAAATTGAGTAGATTGTTTAATTAATAATGTAATTTTAGTGAGACCTGCTGCCCATCAGCTTCCTGGACTAGAATAGGTGTAAACCTCTACAGACAGTAAACACATTCACAGCCTTCGAACTGTATAATTTCACTGATATCAGTTTAGAACATTTACACCATTAAAATTAGCGGCAACATCAGCAACTTACCCAGCTTTGATTTTCACTGTAATATATTTCACTAATCATGCTGATCACTTCATACAGAATCAGACATTATTACTGCATTAGACAGTTAAACAGCTACACAACCTCTCACAGTTAAAGACAAACACCAAGACAGAGAGAGAGAGAGAAAGAGAGAGAGAGAGAGAGAGAGAGAGAGAGAGACAGAGAGAGAGAGAGGAAGAGAAAAAGAGAGGGGAACAGACAGGGAGAGACAGAGAGAGAGAGAGAGAGAGAGAGAGAGAGAGAGAGAGAGAGAGACAGAGAAAGAGGAAGAGAGAGAGAAGAAAGAGAGAGAGGAAGAGAGATAGAGACAGCGAAAGAGAAGAAGAGAGAGAGAGAGAGAGAGGAAGAGACAGAGAGAGACAGAGAGAGACAGAGAGGGCGGGGGGAGGTGGGGAGGGATCAGATCAGGCCAGTTAACGAGAGTGTGACAAAAGAGAGCGGATCTCAGCAGGTTTCGTGTTTGGCCGCTGATAATAACGCCGTTTTCTTTAGTTCATTTAAATGAATACAGATGACTGTTTGGACGCGGCCTGTTCCTCCTGTGTGCTGGTGCAGTTTTCCTCTGTCCTTCTCCACTAAACTGGACCTCTCTGTAGTGTTTTTCCTGCCAGAGCTGCTGTTTTTTGATTGGTGAATCTTTTAAATTTAACCGCGCTTCGTTCGTATTGGTTTCTGAACTGATACGCTCATCATTTATTTTTACTCTGTAACGTTATGAAAATTGAAGTAGCGAAGTAAAAGTATTTCATTAGAAATTAACTCAAGTAAGAATAAAAGTACTATGATTTAATTCTACTCCAAAAAAGTACAGTTACACAGAAAACTGTACTCGGTTGCAGTAACGAGAGTAAATGTAATTCATTACTTACACCTCTGGTCACAGATAATGTTTCCTTCTGATGACTTTTACACACAAAATAATACATGTGATGTCTGATAGAAGCTTTAAATGTTCAAGGTACAGCTGCCTTGTAATGTCTGTTGGCTTGTTGCTAACATAACAGTACAAATGTAACAGAAATTAGCTGACTAGCATTATGACAGATGAAATCAGATGAACAAAGGCTACGTATGAAGGTAATTAGAAGATTTCCGCTTTAAAAACTGATATATAATAACATGGTTGGAACATACTCATCATTTTCTCTGTTCTATATTGCTCTCTGCTTACACAAAATGAAAAAGTCCATGAAATAGCTTTATGTTAGTACAGCTTTGCCTTGAAAGCTTGGTGACTATTGCCAGGTTTGATGAACCAGTCTCACACACAACCACATTATAAGAGACATACTTTAATTCAGCTTTATATTCACAGTTTTTCTTGTTCTTCATTCCTTAATAGCCTGAAATGAAGATATTTATTCATTGTAGTGGCTGCGTAATTGCTTCTTATAGCCTTCATACTGGTATTTTTCTCCGTTATCACTTACTGCAATGAAGAAATCCCCTACAAGAGAAGACTAACCCGAAAATTCCCTTCTTTGGCTGATTTCATGCATGACTCTTGTAGCTGAAGGTGTTCTCCAAGCCATAATGTACAACATAAGGCAATCAAGCACATGAGGCAGCTGATTGCTCAGTCTGACCACTGAGTCACTGAGGATTTCCGGGGGGGTGGGGGGGGACTTCAAACATGATCCTGCTTGAAGACCTTAGTATGACAGTACAGACTATTGCAAACTCATATTCTCTAATGCAAATATTATATAAAGTCAAAATAAGTTACCTGTCTGTGGATTTGCTGGTGGAACAACTGTTTGAACCTCACCCATTAATATTTGATAGACTTAACTTTTGCTGTAAGAACAGCTATCAGTTTTTTGGTGTTTGCACATAACAGGTTTGCACACTAATCCATATGTGTATGCAAATGAACAAATGCATGTATAAAAATGTTTATTTTTCAGCATTTATATGTATTACTGCACATATTACAACTTCCGAAGGACTTTGCTTGTTTAGTACTGTGTAAATATCAGAGACCCATCCTCAGTAATTCAATTTATAGTCAAAAATGGCCCTTAAGTTTTCAGGAGATGCTTCTGAGGAGATGAGATATAAGATAATCTGCTTGCACAAGGAAGGAGAACATCAAAGGGAAATATGTGGAAAAAAGGAGCTTCCAAAACTGGAGTTCAGAAACATTATTAAATGCTACAGAGCAAATGGGACTCCTAACAACCACCTGCACTGATGTGTTAAAAAAGTGATGTGTTAAATAACAACACATTTACTTGTATTCCCTGTTTTAACACTTTTTGTGTCATGCTGTTGTTTGATTTTATACATTCTGTGTTAAAAGTAACACAAACGGTGTGATCTGTGAGTGGGCACAAAAATATTTGAACACATTTTGTGTCAAAAGTAACTTAAAATGTGTCGTCTCTATCTGAACACAGTGATGTGTCTAGATAGACACAGAATGTGTTATTTACATCTGTATCTGTATCTATTTTTAGATTGTGGGAGACCTGCTAGACCACCAAAACTGTCCTCAACAGATAAACGGCAAAACTTTCATCTTTGAGAGAGAGGAGAAAATCAAGCTGCTTCAGATCTGAAAACATCCACAGGTTTTTCTGTCCATCCTTCCACTGTGAGAAGATAACTCAGCACGATGTGTCTGAAAGGACGTGTAGCTGTGACTCAATCTCTGACTGAGAAAAATAAATATACAAAAAAAGGAGAAAATTTGCACTATAACACTGAAACTGGCCATCTGAGACAGGGAAGTTTTATGGACTGATGAGTCTAAATATATAATCAGCCTTTTGCCCGATGACAACTGGGATAGGCTCCAGCACCCCCTGCGACCCAGAAGGATAAGAAGATGTGTGTGTGTGTTTTTTTTTTTACCTGATGCAAAAAAATAAATAACTTGTACTTAACGGCTGTTTTAACTGAAAATGAAATAAAAGGTGAGCTGGCTATTTTAAGCCATAGGCCTTTGCATTGTTCTCATTTTTCTAAACTAAAGGTTTAAACCACAGGGGATGTTTGTACATCTGTTTCTGGCCACACTGCTGTCTCGCACCTCACCTCTAAAAAAAAAATTTTAGTGACAATGTCACTCCATCACCTGCTCTTGAATATTATGCTGGTTTCTGAGACTCTGACAGCACAAATATTACATCAACTAGTTACTGAAAGAAGGGCGTCAGTGAAAGCCTGAGCTGTTTCATTTGTTATGTATTTAGGAACATAGGTGGCCTTTAAGGCTGTTTTCTCTTAAGGTGTTGTTTCCTGTGTTAACAAAAGCCGTACAGCCACAGGATGTTGCCGATGACCTCACAAATGTAGAGCAGGAAGCTAGCAAAACTTTCTTTTTTCCTTTCCATTTTTCTTTCTTGATTCATCTGATTCATCTTTGGCACAGCTGGAAATGAGCAGGTGGTCTAAAAATGATCTTAATCTTTCTGCTTCTTTTTGAAAATGGTGAGTCACGCTTTATAAGCGTTGTTCTTTTATAACAGAGTTGCATTTGTTTAATTATGTGATAATTAGGCTACTACACTAAAGTTAACGTTGGCTTTTTCTTCTCCTATAAAGTTTCCATTGTTCTGATAGTGAAGCTATCTTTCTTAAACATTGATTACTGAACTTTACACCACTCTAAACTGGAGCTGTAATCTGCTTGTGCTTAGTTGCAGGAAATCAACTTACCGGCCCTAAAGAAGTGAAGCAGTGTGCTGGCAGACCCATTCACATCATCTGTCGGTATCACGCGTTTTATCGGGACCATGTAAAATACTGGTGCAGAGGCTACTATTTTAATTACTGCACCACTCTCCTACGAACAGATCAACCAGCTCATGCCAACGGACCACTAGCCATAGCCGACAATAAACAGGAAAGCTTTTTTACCATCCATATGACGAACATTAAACCAGGTGATAATGGATGGTACTGGTGTGCAATAGAGAGAGTCAGCCGACATGTGTCCATCCCCATGGAGTTAATCATATCTTCAGGTAAGCCGACTTTGAAAGGCTCCAGATAGAATGAGCATGAATACTGTCTCTCCTTTTATAGTCCTGAATGCATATACTGTTAAAAAGCCTTTTCACGGTCAGTAAAAAGTAAAAAAAGAAATTTATTACATCTAAAGACTTTTTGTTAACAATATGAACCTTATTGTAAAGTAGCTGAGTTATTCTTAGTCCATAGAAGTGAATAATAAAAGTTTGGACCTGCAAACAGAAAATAAACCTGTACATTTCACACACACACACACACACACACACACACACACACACACACACATTTATAAATAAATAAAATGTTAAAATGCCAGGTTTTTGTCATGTAAAAAAATCAGATGAATCATTTTAGACTTATTTCCACCTTCAGTGTGACCCATGATCTGTAACAAACAAACTAAAATCATTTATAGGGGAAAAATAAAAATGAACTAAAATAATGTGGTTGCATAAATATGCACGCTCTTAAACTAATACTTTGTTGAAGTACCCTTTGACTTTATGACAGCATTTAGTCTTTTTGGGTAGGAGTCTATCAGCATGGCACATCTTGACTTGCCAATCTTTGCCCACTCTTCCTTGCAAAAGCTCTCCAAATCTGTCAGATTGCGCTCCTGTGTGCAGCCCTCCTCAGGTCTACCCACAGATTTTCAATGGGATTCAGGTCTGGGCTCTGGCTGGGCCATTCCAAAACTTTGATCTTCTTCTGGCGAAGCCATTCTTTTGTTGATTTGGAGGTATGCTTCAGGTCATTGTCGTGCTGAAAGGTGAAATTCCTCTTCATCTTCAGCTTTTTAGCAGAGGCCTGAAGGTTTTGTGCCAAAATTAACTGATATTTGGAACTGTTCATAATTCCCTCCACCTTGACTAAAGCCCCAGCTGCAGAAAAACAGCCCCAAAGCATAATGCATCCTCCACCATGCTTCACTGTGGGTATGGTGTTCTTTTGGTGATGCCCAGTGTTGGCTTTGCGCCAAACATACCTTTTGGAATTATGGCCAAAAAGTTCAACCTTGGTCTCATCAGACCATAACACGTTTTCCCACATACTTCTTATAGACTTGATGTAGGTTTTGGCAAAACACAGCCAGACTTGGATGTTTTTCTTTGTTAGAAAAGGCCTCCGTCTTGCCACCCTACCTCTCAGCCCAGACATATGAAGAATACGGGAGATTGTTGTCACATGCACTACACAACCAGTACTTGGCAAAAATTCCTGCAGCTCCTTTAATGTTGCTGTAGGTGTCTTGGCAGCCTCCTGGACCAATTTTCTTCTTGTCTTTTCATCAATTTTTGAGGGACATCCAGTTCTTGGTAATCTCACTGTTGTGCCAAATTTAATCCACTTCTTGATGACCGTCTTCACTGTGTTCCATGGTATATCTAATGCCTTGGAAATTTTTTTGTACCCTTCTCCTGACTGATACTTTTCAACAATCAGATCCCTTTGATGTGTTGGAAGCTCTTTACAGACCATGGCTTTTGCTGTAAAATGCAACTAAGAAAATGTCAGGAAAATCCTACTAGAACAGCTTTATATGGGGTTAATCAGAATCACTTTAAATAATGGCAGCTGTGCACTGATTACGATTTAACATGAGTTTAAATGTGATAGGCTAATTCTAAACACAACCGCATCCCCATACATACAAACATGTGGAGACCATTCAGCTGGAGTGCACACTGTCATTACAGCAAAAAAAGGACATTTCAAACACTAAGAAATATTGAAATTCATGTTAAAATTTTAATGATTCTATTTTTCATTCAGATTGTTATGCTGATAATCATCAATCAGTAGTAATGAAATCTTAATTTCATGTAACGCAAATGTAACGCAAAATAGAAGTATTTTCAGTAGTGGTCTCAGACTTTTGGACCCTGCTGTATATAGTACTAACTATACAGTTCTCAAAAACTGTGATATCTCAAATATGGCCAAGGAAAATGTGTCCTTCTAATGACAAGATATCTGTTTGCAATGTAAAAATATATGAAGAATTTTAAAATGATATAATCAGCATCCATATACATGCAGACTGTGGAATGGCAATGGAATGACCATTATTGGTCAGATTGATCTACAGTAAACCTCTCTGGCCTGAGCTTAAAGGTTACATACAGTAATTCTTGGGTGGAAAAAGTAAAAGTGCAAGCTCTAATGTCAAATGTCATAATCTCTACAGAAAAAGCTCAGCACTGCTCTGAGCCCACAACACTGTGCAATGTCATAGAGACCACCACACTACCAGTGACAACCAGCAAATTAACGACTTCAGAGACAACCGAAACAACACGGACATCACAAACAGCATCCAGTACCACAGATTTAACAAGTATAATGCCTGACGCCATTACAGAGTACGTAAAAGGCTGAATGGAAAGCAGAGATATTCACAGTTTGATAACACATTCCTAGAAATGTTTACGTTCATTATTCTCATGTTCTTCTTTTCAGAGAGACTACATTCGCTGAAAGCCTAGTCCATAAAATCTGGAGCATCATGCGGTGGATTCTCTTCATAGGACTGTGTTCCTTCCTCCTGTCTTTCATGATATACTTTGAGCTGCGAAGAGACTGAGTGAAAAAAAATGTCTTTGGGGGTCAGACTGACCACCTGCAGTTTAAAGACTTCAATGTTTCCTTTAAGTGTAAAGTTAATAATGAATGTTCTCTGACGTTTTTTTTTTAACTGCTGGGCCAAATTTCACCTCCACTTAACACTTAGCATCCACTTTATTAGAAACACCAACCACACACCTCCACAAAGTGACTCAAAGTGGTTTGAAACAAAATGCTTTGTTCTAGAGTCAAAGTGGTTCACAGTGACAGTGATAGTAACCAGACACCTGAAGTGTTTCATGCTGCCAAAAGCCAGATGCCAGAAAGTTAAGGATACATTGCCTGTACACTTTAATGAAAAAAACTACATAACCTACTGAGACCTGTCAGTAGAAATGGTTTGATAATTTGCAACATTGAACAACACCTAATCGTCCCTGCACAGTAGAGGTGGGGGAAAAAAAAATCTATAAAGCATAGTATTGCGATTTGTGGCACCACAATGTTGTATTGATATTCAGACGGCAACTATTGATTTTAAAATATAAATTTAAAGTAAAGTTTTTATGACATTGTTAGTCAGTTTGTCTGCTTGACAGTCCCATTTTGCTGCAAAAAAATTATTTAAGTGAGATGAACACACTGAAAACTTTATCTCATTAGATAATCAGATGTTGACAAAACTTTCATTTGGGGATGAAATTCCCAGTTGAAAAAAAGTAATAAAGTACAATTTATGTTACTGCAGTACTCAGCATATTGCAATTTTTTAAAATCACAGCAATATCGTATTTCAGTATAGTGATAATTTCATATTGTGACTTCAGTATCGTGATAATATCATATCGTGGATTCTCACCCTTACTGGACAGGTGCACCATCTGTCTCAGACTAATGATAAGGAAGGTAAGAGAGAAGCCAATGGTCACTCAAAAAGAGTAGCTTAATTACTTCTTACCATTGATGTCTTGAAGCTGTAATTGCCAGCAACATAATTTCAATACACACTGTTAGAAAAGTTGGTTCTTCAAGGGTTATTTTGTATACCAATGGTTCCATATAGAACCATGAACACTCAAAGAACCATCTGCAATTAAATAATTCCTTGTGTGGCAAAATGTCCTTCAGATTGATGGAGAATGTGTTATATAAAGTTCTATATAGCACTAAAAATCATTCTTCTACTGTATACAAGCTTGACATTGTAACAATAGCAAAACCCTCTTTGGTGCTTTATAGAGCAATTTTCAGAAAGGTTCACTGAAGAACCATATACAGCACATTCTCCATGCAAAAAACTATTTAAGCATGCACTTGGTTCTTTGAGTCTTTATGATTCTATTATTATCTACTATTATATGAAGTCTAGCAAAAAATCTAAGGAGTGAAAAAAGTGTACACTCCCATTTACACAAACACACACATCTTCTAAGCTGCTTATCCTTCTGGGTCGCAGGGGGAGCTGGAACCTATCCCAGCAGTCATTGGGTGGAAGGCAGAATACACCCTGGACAGGTCACCAGTCCATCACAGGGCAACACTCCCATTCAAAAGTGGACCAAGCCCACAATGGCAAAACATCAAGCTTTCAGTGGTCCTAACCTGAAATCATTAGTCAGCAAATTAGCAAGAATTTAGTTTTTCCATTTGATTTCTTCAAATGTTGAAGCCTTGTGGGTAAACTTTTTTCATTGACGTAACAATACATCTACTGGAGTTTGGTCTAGGCTGCTCTGATAAGTAGTGTGCTAGGTTGAGGGGTTTCCACCACCCAGAAAGAGCATCTCTGTGGTCAAAGTTGACCACCGATGAAGGACCAGAGAGTGGGCTCATGAGCAGATGGGCTACCGTCTCCATTGAGGTGTATTTTCAGCTTATTGATAGTTGGATTATTTTGGGGGTAAGACAGTTTCACATTCTGTAGTCTTTAACTGTCTACACCATGATGGTGGCGCTACAAGGGAGGTGTGTCTAATGAAGAGTCTTCATCTTATCAACTTATTGGCAATCAATTCTCAGCTTGGGATCCTTGTATTTCCAAGTATCAGCCCTGTCTCCATGTTATGTAGCAAAGATGATAAACTTCGATTAACATATGTTTATTCAATCGGTTTTGCCAAAGAGTCAATTACTATAAGGGCTCTACATAATCAACCCATTGTAGCTAGCACAGTATACATTTTATTCTAATGCTCTAATCAGATAATCAGGCAGCTCATTATGTTGTTTATTTATTTATTTACTCCTTCCCCCCTACTTGAACAGTGCTCAGGCACAGTTTGATTCTGTACAGCCATGTGACATATTGTGGCGAAAGCTAACATCCTGGAGCATGTAAACGGACACTGTCTCACCTTAAAGAGATCAATTAATGAGCTCATTTATAATTAATCAGTATTGATCCCCTCTACTTGGTGGTGGAAATAAAACACCGCCACTAGCCTTGTATATCACTTGCTTAACTTCTTATTCACTGTTATAAACTCATTAAAGCGAAACTGGAGGAACTTCTTACTTCCCTTTATACATGATTACCAATTGCTTCTTCAGACTGATAAGTAGATCTGAAATGCAATCACCATCCACTTCATTAGAAACCACTACCTTTTACTTCCATTCCAAGACCACTGAGGTCTTCCTACTTTATATGTCCATTCTATACAAACAGGTGACAAATGAAAAAAAGAAACAAAATGTCTTAGAAAGGTGTTGGTCACCGCAAGCTGCCACTTTGGTCTGCTTTTAGCTCAGCTATAGCCACTTTTTCGCATCTCTGGCAGGAAACTTTTTAGCAAAAGTAGAATAGTTTCGTGTAAAATGTCTCTCAACGTTAAATTTTTTATGAGGCTGAAGTCAGCTTCTCATTCGCCAGTTTATTGTTCGAATTTTCCTGTTCCATCTTAAATGGTGCCTAAGGGCGCCACAATGTAACTGCTGCACCATTTAAGGTGGAACGGGAAATTTCAAACAAGAAGCTGGTGAAAGAGAAGCTGACTTCACCTGCACAACTTTTTTTAGTGTTTGACAGTTTCTTGTTGCAGATTAAATGTATCAGGAAACCAGCTGAAGTGATTATAAATGCAAATAAGTCCATTCATCTCCAAATTATCGATGTTCATCTTAAATCTTTCTCTTTGCCTTTTTGTTAGCTACTAGCTAGGTGAGATTGTTGTATGTGTTGCTATGGTGACCAACAGTCTGCATGCCAATCTTCAGGGTTAAAGGTTGGTGAATTAGTCTACATTAATATTCTATATTATTACTACAGGGCAGCAAAAGAGCCGCATGTTGCCAACCCCTGGAATAGACTCTTCAAATTTCTGGAACAGTGCTGGATGGAAGGAACACTATTCTTCCAGAAGATATTCCCTCTGTTGGTGGTTTGATTCCTGGATGAATGTAAGCTTTCAGAATAGATTTGCATTGATTTGCAGCGACTCTCCCCTCTAAGGGAACAAACCTCCCACTGCATAACAAAGTCACTGGACCCCGTCATTGAACATTCACAAAAAGGATGGTTCTTCAAGCGTTCTTTAGTAAAGACAATGGTTCTAAATAGAACCATGAACATGAAATGGTTGTTTGCATAGTGAAATCATTCTTCAGACTGATGGAGAATGTGTTGTAGAACCTTTTTGAAAATGGTTCTATATAGCATCAAAAGGGGTTCTTCTATTGTAACAAGCTTGACATCATAACAATTGCAGAACCTTTTTTGCTGCTATGTAGAACCATATACAACACATTCTCCATCAATCTGAGGAACCATTTCACCATGCAAAAAAAAAAACATCTAAGCATGCAAATGGTTTATTGAGTGTTCATGGTTCAGTATAAAACCATTGGCTTTACTAAAGAACCCTTGAAGAACCATCTTTTTTAAGAGTGCATGGGTCAAGCATTCTTTTACTGAACACTGCACATGCACTCTCCCACTTGTGGAGAACATGGTGAAGCATGCATCATCTGACCGTATCACTCTTTTCTGCACCTCTGTAGACCAGTGAAGCAGTGTCCTCTCAAATGTTCCATAGTCTTTGTAATGAGAGATATATGGACTGTTCTGACAGTCTGACTATGTCCTGCATTGACATTCTCAGTCACCTGGGGAACAGATGCTCCTCTGTTGTTCTTTCCGACATATTGTACTAATGCATGAGCACCACAGTCATTGAATCATCACCCCCAATTTTCAGCCCTGGTGTCTTTCACACAGATCTAAATGCAGATGTCAGATAGTTGTGACTGAAGCTTCTCTCATCCGAGCCCCAATGACGAACCTCCTTCAAAGTCAAAGAGGTAAACTGGGTCTGCTCTGCATTTCCATACATGCCACAGAGCATGGTAGGATCTTGATTGCTTGACTATATCATGCAGTATTTCTATCTGGAAGAATCTCATTACTTGGAACAAAACCTCATATCTACAAAAAGATGACTTCACAGGAGAAGTAAAAAAACATCCTTAACTCTGAGTGGAGATTAATGGAACAAGATCTTAATCAAAGTCATTTGGACCATTTCTATTAGTCAATTCATCATGAAAATTTGACACAGTGTGAAGAGTGACTGTCAAAACCATGTGAAGCAACAGAAAAAGATAAAAAAAAAACAGAAGGCTTTGTTCTGACAGCAATGATCTGCGCTTATTATGTTTCTCTACTAATTCAGGTTTTGAATAAAATAACACATTTGTTGGTGTACAATTACCAACTGTAGTCCATCTGTTGCTGGCTGCTTTGCCATTCACCCCCTAACCCATTCATCACGGGTCAGTTTCTGACCACATGATCACTACTGACCAGATCAATTGGGTGCTGAATCACTCTTAGCATAACAGTGATGCTTCTGTTATGAATATATGAGTATATTTCAGTGTCACTGCCACGTTGAGAGTGGTCCACCCCCAAAAATATCCCACTACTAGCGGTTCTGTGGTCAGAAACTGACCAGTGATGAAGGACTAGAGCATGGGTCAGCAACCCACATGTTAAGAAGAGCCATTTAATCCTTTCAACAAAAATCAAACCACCTTGGGAGCCACAACATTTTATTTCCATTTTACCATCTTGGCTGTAAATACGTCTCAGTATAGGCTAAAAAAATATAAATGAAAACTCAGTTTGCTCTGCTTTAAGCTTTAGCTCGGCTATAATCGCTTTTCTTGCATCTCTGGCAGGAAACTTTTCCTTAAAAATAAGGAAAATGTAAAATGTCTTTTAACATCAAGTTTTTATGAGACTGAAGTCAGCTTGTCCTTCCCCAGCTTCTTGTTTGAATTTCCCCGTTCCACCTTAAATCGTGCCTGAGGTGCCAGAACACACTATTTAAGGTGGAACGGAAAAATTTGAACAAGAAACTTCAGCCTTTTACCGAAGTTTTGAACTTTTTACTGTTTGACAGTTTCTCGTTGCACATTAAATAAGTCCATTCGTCTCCAAATTATCAACATTCATCTTCAATCTTTCTCTTTGCCATTTCTTTGGCTACTAGCTAGCTGAGATTGTTGTCATTGCTATGTGAC